TTATCTATTTATTGATTTTATTTTTTATATCGGATGTCATTTATGAAAGCATTATTTTTACTATTTGACAGAGACTGCCTACTTCTTGCATCATTTCTATTTTATTTTATTTTATGGAATGTACTTATGTCGTAATAATTTAATCAAACTAAAATATTGTATCAAGATAACACATTTGGAGTTAGGTTTTGTAAAATGGTTGGTTGGCAATTAAAAATTTAGAAATAAATAATTCAATTGTTTATATTTATATTTATATTTAGAGATGGAGATGGAGATGGTTGAAGAGTTTTATAGTTTTTATTACGTAATGTATTCTATATTCATGTCTCATGTGCATTGTCCACATGAATTAGACTTGTATATTTAATTGTTTACCACACTTGGAAAGGCACGTCCGAATAGAAAACTTGTATCATGTATTTGATTGTATTCATTGACATATGCTTACAAATCAATAAATATGTATAGTCCTGATGGATCTATTTTAAAGATTACATATGATTTGGGTGTTAACTAACATTTTTAAATGATTAATAAAGAATATATTGACTTTAACCTTACTAAGTTTTGAATTTATATTGTAAGTACTAATTAGTGTATAATATTTAATAAGATATGAACTCTTTACAAGTATCTTCTGATACATTAAACGTTATTTTATTATTTATCATTGGAATTTCGGCCCTTGGTTGCTTTGAAGTTTTCTTCAACCAAAGATAAAATACGTCTGTATTTGGTTTTTCTTTGGCCTAATCCTTTGACATCTCATTCAATGCCATAATTTGTCAAACAACGTTATGGAAGAAAGAATGTTTAAATGATATAACATAAGAAATTCCGTTAAAGATCTGTATTCCTTTCTTTTTCAAGAAATTATAGTTTATTTGTAATGAGTCGGCTCGATAAAGATAAATATAAAGGTATGTTTATAATAAGTTTAAATTATTTAGGGCAAATATCATAAAATACAATTTATTACAAGTCAACAACCAAAAATCTAATATAATAATTTTATGTTCATGTAAACCCTCTTATTATTGAAACATTTAATATATAGGGTTTTCCCCAATATAATGTATATTATAGATGTGTTTTTTTTAATAACATATCTATAATATGTTGTGCTTTCTTAACTGAAAGATTTACATGCTTTGATAGTCAATTTTTCTTTTTTAAATAAAAGGCTTTAACAATATGAGGGTTTTTTTATTATTATTTTTTATACTGTTTTGATAGACCCAAAATTAATATAGTAATTCTTCCGTTTAGTAGCTCATAATAAGCTATGTACTTTTTTTTTATGACATTTGTCATTTTGTTGAATTCATTATTGCCAGCATCCTATATGAATATAAGAAATGAAAAATCTTCTTCTTGTTAGATATACACATTATATATCACTTAATTTTTGGTCGCAATTAATCTTAATTAGCAAACATCATTTGACAAGAGTTCTTTTTTTTTTTTGCCAGAAACATATACAAATATAAGACATGAGTAATTTTTTTTGTTCAGATAAATACAATATAAGACTACTCAGTTATTGATCGCAGCTAATCTTAATTAGCAAACACCATCTGACATGAGTTTTTTGTGCAAAGTTACTATTTAGGAAATTATTTTGACATCAATGACTATTGTTGGAATAAAAACTTAAGAGTTTTTCATAATAATCGAAATAATTAGAGGTTTTTTCATATTAATTGGGTCTCAAATTATTAAAAACATTTAATATAAACTTTTTTCGTATTACTTGAAATAACGGGAGGTTTTCACAAATTTAAAATAAAAGTAAATAATTTGAGGTTTTTTTTTTTTTTTTTTTTTTTTTTTTTTTTTTTTTACGTTATACGATGGTGTTTTAATAGACCCAAAATTAATATAGTAATTCTTCTGTTTTGTAGTTCATAATAAGCTATCTTTTCTTTTACATTTGTCATATTCGTTATTGCTAGCATCCCATGTGAATATAAAAGATAAAAACATTTCGTTTTGTTGGATAAATACAAAATATATTACTCAATTATTGGTCGCAATTAATCTTAATTAGCAAACACTATTTGACAAGAATTTTTTTATCAACATCATGTACGAATAAAAGAGATGTGAAATTTTATATTTTTCATATAAATACAACATAGATTGTTCAATTATTGGTTGCAATTAATTTTAGCAAACACCATTTGACATGAGTTTTTGGTGCCAAATGACTATTTGGGAAATGATATTGACATCAAGGGTTATTAGTGGAATAAAAACTTAAAGTTTTGTCGTAATAGTTGAAATAATTAGAGGTTTTATTTTTGTATTAATTGAAATAAATAGAGATTTTAATAGTCACAAATTTTAGATACAAGTTGTTAATAATTTTAGGTTTTTTCACATTATATGATGATGTTTTAATACCACCCAATTATTCTTAATTAGCAAACACCATTCGACGAAGAATGCTTCTTACAATATTAGAAGTCTTTTTTTTTTGTCAGATAAATACAACATAGATTACTCAATAATTGGCCGTAACCAAACTTAATTAGCGAACACAATGTGACATGAGTTTTTGGTGTCAAATGACTGTTTGGGCAATGAGTTTGACATGAAGGACTAATAGTGTAATAAATATTTAAAAAATGACCTATAATGAAAAATGTAGATAGACCAAGGGACCACTAATTAAAATATAAATGGAACATAGGTTAAAGGAGTGGGATGCCGGCCATAAAGCGACAGATGGTTGTGGGACCCAATTTACAGAAGAAAAAACCTACTTTTAAGGATCCCTTCCCTCTTCATTATTTTAATGTCTCTTTCCCATTAAATGTCTACTTTGGCGTTTATAATCCGTCTTTTTGGGCCCCACCTATTACATCTATATACTAATATTATTACATGCCAAAATTAATAAGTATGTACCTTATTTTTTTATTATTTTTTTGTGATTCTTTCTATTATTCTATTACACATAAATGTTGGCCGAAAAACGAGACGTTAACCGCTAGGAGACGGTCAATAAGAGATATAATGAGATTTTCATATTTAATTATTTAAAAAGATAAAAAATATAATGTCCTTCTAAAAATATATTATTTTCTTCGTCTCCTATTATTTAATAGTTCATGTTTCCTTTTTATTTTGCTTCAAAATAATAATTTATTTCTAAAAATAAATATATTTTTACTAAAATACCCATTATTATTAATTAAATTACCATAGAATTAAATACAACTACAATGAAATTAAATGCAACAAAAAGTACAACTGTCATTTAATTTAATAAAATTAGTTTTAATTAATGTTTTATTAATCTCTGTATTTTGTGTCTATGTATAATAATTTTGGGACGGAAAGAGTATTAAATTTAAAATATTTATTTAACCTATGTGGTATTAAAATAATGTTAAAAACTACATTTTCTTTATATCTATCTTCTTAGTCATAAAACAATGTCATATAAAACTCACTAACTTTCTATTGATTTTGATATTTGTCTTAGTCCATTGAATAAAAAGAAAAATAAAAACTAAAGATAAAAGGATATTTGATTTCTCATGTTAAAAATAAGTATTTATTGATACTTGATAGTATCAAATCTCAACAAACACATAAACACACTTAGAACAAAAACTCACATGTTGCATAATTTTTTTAAGGTTTGCACGAAATAAAATTACAAAATATACCAAAAAATTACATTATGTTAGAAAATTTGAGGGATAATCCATACTACACCAGAGACACTAGAGTGTATTAGTATAGGTTCATCAATAAACAAACTAATAAACACTTTGAATAAAAAACTCATACAACCCCTTATTAGAAACTCTTGCTTTTCTCAAAACTATTAAAATGATTTTTTTTTTTCGAAATCAAATCAAGAATTTTGTCATGTGAACACTAAAAATTAACTCTTTAAAAAGTTAAAATTACATTCCAAACATATCCAACGTATCTATTCAACTTTGAATAACCACAAATAATGCCTTGAAAAGAGGTTTGAGGAAAAAACGAAACGATGAACGTGTCTACTTCATAAATTTGGCTTGTATTTTACTTTGCCCCCTATCGTTTTCCAATGTCAAAGAGATGCTTCACGCCTCTTTATATACATTTGTTTTTTTTCTCCCAAAGGGATAACATTAAAGTAAATGCAACCTCCCTTTCTTTTTTAATTTTAATTATTATCAACGCCTACATTATTCCTACCCATTTTTTCATTTCTCATATTATAATTTATAACAATACCCCCTCTAAAATAAATAAAAAAACAAGTGGTCACAATGACAAATGCATGTCAATCTTAGATAAAGTTTTTTTTTCTTTTACTGAGTTAAATATTTAATCTAAATAGATATAAATGATGTCTTGTTTTTTATTCAACATGGATATTCTAACTTAAGGGGTCAAGTCAGAAAATCTAGAATAATTGGTTAAGACAACAATTATTTACCTAATTTTCATCCAAATCCACACCAATATTGTTGTTGAATTTAACTTGTAAATAAGTTAATAATAAAAAAAGAAAGACACCTCCTAAATTAAAACAAAGAGAAATTAAATATATATTTTTTTCTATCTTTCTTATTCATTTTGGATAAATACAAATGCCAAAATCAACTGAAAAACTTAAAGAGTTGGTAAATTCCATGCTATTTTATTTAAATAAAAATATCATTTTTCTATAGTTTATACTGTATGATAATAAAATGTTTGTTAATTTTTAAATTGGGTCAATCAAATTATACACGAACTTTAATAAGTCCTTTTTATAATTCTTGATATTATAAACGTTAAAAGAAAAAAGTGAAAAAGAACAATAAAATGGGAGTGGGTCAAATACGGACATTTGGGAGGCTTCCACTGCACCTTTGCACTTTCCTGTTCCCACGTTGACATCACCACACCTATCTTCCCATTACCCCTCTATTATCCCTATCTCCTTTAATCATATCAGAATTTAATCTCATAATAATTATAATAATAATAATAAAATAAACATATTTGCTCATTCGATTAACACTATTGAAACATTGAACAACAAAAATGGCTACAATTTGTTAGTTTTCTTGAAACTATTTGTCATTGTAATATTGAATTGAAGAAAAGAAAAAAAAAAGTTTAATTATCAGGACAAGTTCACATGAACACTGATGTTCTTTGTGGATTTACAAACAGGACAAATGTTAACAGAGGAAGCACATACTGTGCAAAGACAGAGATGCCTGCAAGGAAGAAGCAACACGCATGATTCTTCCTGACCACATTTCTTGCACGATCTGTTGTTGTTGCTACTGCTACAATCATCATTCATGTTGTTATGATTATTATCATGATGATGACCGATTCGTTGTTGTTGTTGTTCTTCGTTGTTGCTTTCGCAGCATGATTGTGCGTCTTCGGCGTCGTCTACACACGCCGCCGTGCTACGGTGGCGGAAATCGTCATGGACGACTTGTTCGAGGACTTGTTTCAAGTTGCTACGTAATGCGTTTGCTGTTGCTTCGTTGGTTTGAGCTAATTCTCTCCAGATTTGATTCTCTACACATAGGGATTTCACTTTCTCTTCCAATGCCCAATTTAATTTCGAGATCTTCACGATTTCTTCTTCTTTTGCTCTTAGTCTCTTCGAGATTCCTTCCTCTACTGCTGCTATTAATCTCCTTGAATTTCTCTTTCGTCTCTCTTCGATATCGAGTCTCACTTTTTCCGTCTGCGAAAATCAACAATTTAGCAAACAATTTCGAACAAAAACACTTAGAAATTAAAACCGAATGAGATAATTAGGATTATTACATGATGAGCGACGAATTGATCGATCTCTAATTGCTGTTGTTGGATCTGTAAAGAGATGTCCTCTCCGAGAAACGTATAGGCTCCACAACTCTCCATTTGATTGCGATTCATGTTGTGACTGTTAACGAAGGAAAACAAGGTATTGATATCAGAAGAATCCCGAGTTCGCTTTCTAGAAATTACAGGAAGACTGCACGTGAGGCCACTCTCGGATTTCAGATTAGCAGTATTCGCCGGAAGAGGGTTCATCGAATCGGTAAAACCAGAGCAGAACATCGCAGTGGTCGTTGTGGGGAAAGGATGACCACCAATTCCGTAACCTAAAGGGCCATTAATACCGTTTCCTTGATTATCAATGGCGTTAGTTATCATCATTTGAGGATGGTAAAGACTATGCTGACTTGCCTCAACAGCCATGAATACTCTATTTCAAAGCTTTTTCTTCGTGTTCTCCCTTTGATTCAGCTTGCAAAGTAATAATAAGTATTGTGTGTTGAGAGAGAAAATGAGAAGGCAGAGAAGCATGCAAATGTAGCGTAAGTGAGAAAGGCTTTCGGTGGGGGGTTTTATTGGAGAGGAGAGTTTGCTTTAGGAGAGAGAAAATTATAATATACCAAATTATTAAAATATTTGTTTTGGTTGGACTATATATATATATATATATATATATATATATATATATATATATATATATATATATATATATATATGGTTCAATCGAGAAAAAAAAAGGTTGAGAATGTGGTAATCATTCTCAGCCACACATTTATTTTTGCCGCAAAATACTTAGGCGTACCGTCGGAAATGAATAACGGATAAACATGTGTTTTCCAACCAAACATGTTTCCTTAAACTATGCTAATCATTACCTTAATATACACAAAAACATATTTTTTTTTGTTTTTTTTATTTTTAGAAAGCCATTATTATTGAAAAATTATTTTAAATATATCGAAATTCATAATTTTTTATTCTCTATAAATAGACATCCATATTGATATACTTTTAAGATAAAATAAAAAATTTATTTTTTTAGAGTTTCAGCACTCGTTATTCATAAGTGAATAAAAAAATCTATCAGATTTTTTATTACAGTATATTCGTTATTCACTTATGAATAAAACGTATGCGTAACTTTTTTTATAGTTTAAGTACCGTTCATATATGAATATGACACGCAATAAAGTTTTCTTACTTAAAATATATTTTTGACATCATCTTTCATCATATATTATATTTATATATGAATAAAACGTGTATTAGTTGTCGTCATATTTTATATTCATATATGAATAAAACATTTATCAGATTTTTGTTACAGTTAATTTGTTATTCATATATGAATAAGTAGTATAAATGATACTTAAACTGTAAAAAAAAATTAATCATATATTTTTATTCATAAGTGAATAACGAATGTACTGTAGCAAAAATCTGATGCATTTTTATTCATTTATGAATAACGATAGCTGAAAATATAAAAAAAAAAATATTTTATCTTAAAAGTATATCAATATGGATGTCTATTTGTAGAGAATAAAAAATCATAAATTTTGGTATATTTAAAATCATTTTTCGATATAAATAGCTTCTTAAAAATTAAAAAAACAAGAAAAAAACTATGTTTTTGTATATATTAAGGTAATGATTAGCATAGTTTAAGTAAACAAGTTTTGTTGGAAACACATGTGTATTCCTTATCCATTTCCGCTGGTACAACAAAGGCTTTTGCGGCAAAAATAAATGAGTGGCTGAGAACAATTCCCTCATTCTCAACCTTTTTCATTTTCTCAATTGAACTTACCTCTCTCTCTCTCTCTATATATATATATATATATATATATATATATATATATATATATATATATATATATTATATATATATATATATATATATATATATATATAAATGAGTTATAAGTATGGATAGGTTCAAATGTTTCTCACATCTATTGTGTGTTAGAATGCACCAATAGAAATTTAGTATTAATTATATGTATATTAAATGTTATCCATACTTATAACTCATTTTTATGCAAAGTAATTTAATTCGTCATTAATGTCAACAATAATATTCTTTTAGAATGAATTCATATTTAGAAGAATGACAGTGTATTACAGCAGAATGAGAGTGTATTCTAGTAGAATACACTCCCGTTCTTCATATTTCATGCAACTTTATTGTATTTTAAGTGAGTGAGTCCTGAAACAAAATACGAACTCATATATAAAAACCTAAATACGAATTTATTCTAAAAGAATGTTATTGCTGACATTAATGACAGAATTAATTAGTTTCCATAAAAAATAATTATAATTATGGATATCATTTAATATACATATAATTATGGAAATCATTTCATATCTATATTTATTTAATTAAATAATTAATTAATTTTACTAAATTTCTATTGGTGTATTCTAGCACACAATAAATGTAAGAAACAAAATAACCTAGCCCTATATATATATATATATATATATATATATATATATATATATATCTATATATTATATATATATATATATATATATATAGTGTTAGGTTCATGTGAGACGGTCTAATTTTTTGAGACCGTGAGACGCAATTTTAACCACTCATTTAGTAAATAAAAAAAAACTTTTTTAAAATGCGAAATAATTGAAAATTTTCAAAAAATAAAATTCAAATATTATTTTCGGAATTTATATTTTCCAAAAAAAAACTAAAAAAAATACCAAAAAATAAAAAATAAATAAATAAAATACATTTTTTTACATATTCTAGTAGAATATTAGAATATTCTACATATCTGACAAATATAATACAATATTCTAACATTCTAAAAATCACATTAGAATATTTAAAGTGTAATATTCTATTACAATATTTTACGTATTTAAAAAAAAAGCAGTAATTTTTTTTTATTTATTATTATTTTTTTTAGGTAATTAAAGTTCTGAAAATAATAATTAAAAAAATAATTTTTGGATTTTTCCTTTTATTTTGCATTTTAAAATTATTTTTAGATTTGGTCTCACGGTCTCACAAAATTAGGATGGTCTCAAACGAACCTGAACATATATATATATATATATATATATATCGAAAAAAATACCGAATATACCATTATTCATATTTTCGTCTTCTTTCCATAGATATCCATATTTATATATACAAAAAATGATTTTTTTCCCCAAAAAACCTACTTAATTTCTTTGTTTTTTGAAAAGTTAAGACCTATTTTTTATCGAAATATTTAATAAATATATCAAAATTCATATTTTTTTGGTATTATTTAAACATAGATTAATATTGATGTTAAAAAAAATGAAAATTTAGTATAAATTTACATTGTGAATCTGAGCAGATTCACAATGTGAATAATAGTAACTCAGATTCACATTGTGAATATTAAAATTATAATATTTATAGTTTACAATGTAAATCTGAGCAGATTAACAAAGTGAATAATAGTAACTCAGATTTACATTGTGAATCTAAGCAGATTCACAATGTGAATAATAATAACTCAGATTCACACTGTTAATTGATCGATGTTTTTTTTAATCGATGTTGATGTTAATTGATAGAGGACAAAAAATTGAAAATTTTGATATAATTAGTTTTTTTTTTTGATAAAAATTAACTTAGATATTGAAAAAAACAACAAAACGAATTGAGTTTTTTTCGAAAAAAAAAGTTTGTTTTTTATATATCAACATGGATCTCTATGGAAAAAGGAAGAAAAATCGTGAACAACGATATACGCGAGTTTTTTTTCCGATAAAAAATGTGGCTTAAAAAAATTTAAACAAAAAAAACGAGTTTTTTGGTAAAAATGTGAGCTTATAATATAATCCGGTGTATGTGCGTCCAATATACAAGTGTACATCCATTCTCTTGGCCGTTGATCACTTTAAATTTCGACGCTTACGTTTGGTTCTTTGGTTTCTATTGAACCTCATTATATATATATATATATATATATATATATATATATATATATATATATATATGGTTTAGACGTACCCTTTTGGAGAAGATTGATGTTTTTGTTTTTAAAAAATGATGAGTTGATTATGATTTGGCAAGTTCACACGTTGTTTTAGTTTCCATATAAACTCAACCCTATATATATATATATATATATATATATATATATATATATATATATATATATATATATATATATACACAAACACACACACATACACACACACGCACACAGAGAGAGAGAGAGACTGCAAGAATGGTCGTCGTGCTTACCTGAAAATTGTCGTTTTTGTCCAAAAAGGTTTGGATTAGCATAAAGGGTCCAAACTTTTTATTTTGTTGCGAGTTTGGTTCAAAAATTTTAAAGCTTTTTAGAATTATGAATTTTCCCTTATTATTTTATTTTCCATTTTTCTTTTTACAACAATTAAAAAAAATAAAAATAAAATACTCTCTTTCTCTCTCTACAATACCCATCTCACTTTAATTGGGTTGCATATTTATGGATTCAAATGGGATATTTTCAGTTACATCTGGGAAATTACAAAGGCTTTGATGGAGTTATAGACCACTTGAAGAAACACTTGTTGGTTTAGTAGTGAGCAAAGTAGTCTTCTAGGTAAAGAAACACCAGAGACTCCTCTTTTCGACGTCGTCCAGTTAGATCTACAAGGTCGCCGGATTCCATTGTTTTTCTTTACAAAAAATATACTATTCTTCATAGGTTCATCAGCTCAAATCCCAGAAATTCATCATCATCTTCTTCGAAACCCATTTTGATTATCTATTTGCAAAACAAAATCTGGTTCCATCATCGAATCCCAGAATAACCAAATTCAATAGAGATATGTCCTTCCATATTCACTTATGTTTAAAAATTAAATCATCACACTCATAAATAAGATTACTACCCAAATGTATTTTCTAGAAAACAAGGCCTATCGGAAGGAGAAAACACGAACCTCCAGCCATCAAGCATCATTTTCTTCCTCAGAATCGGACATGAAAACCCTAAAATCCGACCTTTAAAACCCAAGAAATCCACATTCAAAGATATAAATGTTCATCATCTAAAATTGGACCTTGAAACCCATGAATTCAGACCTTGACACCATGTGATCGGAACTTTAAAACCCTAAGATTGGAATATATGAAATCGAACTGGTGGTCTTACCTTCATCAGATGGGAATATGTGTACAGAGGAAGACGCAGAGGCTGAGGAGTTGGGTTATGTTCTCCGACAACAATTCATTGATTGGTTGTCACCGAAAAAAAGAAAATGACAGAGGGAGCGAGTTTGGTGTGATGATAGTAGGGAGAACAGGGGAGAGGCCAGAAAAGGAAGAAATGGACGAGAGGTGATAATCGGTGGTGGTTGTGGCATTGCCAGAAAAATGGAGATGTAGAGGAATGAAGACGATGAGGGATGGGGGTTGGAACCAAATCAGAGAGAGAGAGAGAGAGAGAGATAGATAGAGAGAGAGAGGTGACCCCTCTTATTTTTTAATTGTTTAAATAAATAAATAAGTATTAGATTTAAAAAATGAAAGAAAAATAGAAA